CTCTCTTTCCAAACTGGACTTTTCTTCTCTTCATAAACGGACGGAGATTTGTATGGTTGCTGTCCGAAATGACCTTCTGATGGGATAGCCCATACCTACCTCCACTTCCGCTGGAAACAGGTGTGACGTGGGAGGATGGCTGTCTGCTGAAGACATGACCAGTGCCAGACTGGTCACAAATCGGTCATTCTTGTCCACCACGTGTCAGTTTAGCAATCTACATGTTGGCCCTTCTTCACACAACATCTCGCCTGTAATGGTTAGGATGAAGCCTGGCATATATCTAACCAGGACTAACGTGCCATCTCTGGGAGGTAACACGCTAGCTCCAGCTGGGGACAAGCGCCTAGAAGCCCTCGTCCTGACGGGATGGGGCGAGGCGTGCGTCAGATCGCCTGTCGCCACCTAACCCGTGATTTGACCGGTCTGTGACTGATCACAGACCGGATAAAAGAGTGCACTGCACTGCGTTACATGCGGCGTGACACGCTCAACCAAACCGCAATAAATGTGGTTAGGTGAGCCCCACTGTGCTCTCCTAACCCATACACGCGGAGCAAAACCCACGAGGGGTCGGGGCGCCTCGGCCCTCGGGGCCGAGGCTGGAGTGGTCCGACCCCCTCGGGGAGACTAAGAGGAGGGCGAACACATCACCCTCGGGCCCGACGTCCCCCGAGGGTGCCAGGCCACGTGGGCGATTGTGTCTGCCTCAAGCCTCTAGTCATGATACTCCCGGTCCCATGTCACCGACACGATAGGATCAACACCCAACACAATCAACATAGAAGCCTACATACGCCAAGACACACCGCCGGATATCGACTTCATGGATAAGCACGGCTAAAACCCTACGGTGTCTCCGGATACTGTCAGGAGAAACGAAAGCGCTATCTCTGATCTCGCCGGGCACGGATTCGAGGAGAAAGGCTACTCCGTTGTCGACTACGAGTCAGATCGTCAAACCGCCATGTCGACAACAGTTAGATTGGCTACCCCAAATATTGTACTTGTGTGATTATGGTGAATAAGAGCAATACCGGCTTCGGCCAACAGGTTGTAGGGTTATTACCTGATAACTCAGGGGCCCGAACCTGTATAAAAATCCTTGTCTCCATCTCTTTTACCTCAGTCTTGCGTATATCCTAGCACCGACGATCCCCATACCATGCAAATACCAGAATTGCGACATCAAACGTCGACAGAAAATTCTTTTGTAACAAATCACCCACATATTATGGAAACTCTCAATTAAAGGAATTCATTTTATTTTTTGTTCCACTAAAAAGTTTCATCCAGGGTACTTATAATGTTTCACTATGTATGGATCAATTGCAGCGACTTGAAACATTCTTTCCTATTTGATGAAACATTGTTTTTATATAAAGTAAAACAACACTCGATTTAAACGATTGAAATATTTTCGATCTAATTAGTGAAACAATTCCGATCTACTTGGTGGAATATTGTAAAACATTTAAAAATAATTTAATAATAAGCTAATTTTTTTCATTGGAATATATCCATATGTGGTCTTGTTTTAAAGATTTAATTGTAACGAATTTAACGGTGTATTCAGATCATGATTTGGATAAATAATTTAAGAGAAAAAATAGTTTAAAGTAGTTTTGCATGCATGTATGCTTGCTAACGTCATGCTAACGTGGGCACCCGATTTTTCCCACCCCAATCAGACGCCCGACGCGTAGTCGTTTCCCTATGACACCGCAAAACTAACTTTTTTGGGAGAAAGCACTCTATAATTGTGTTATTTTGCCAGTGGACACCAAGCAGACTATAATAATAATTTTCGTTTGAAGAGAAGAGAGAAATCGTATGAAATGTCAAAAATTCCCTTAGGCCAACATGTTAGCTCTTCTATCTTGTATATGTGGGGTCCACATGGCAATGGCAGGAAATGTGGGGTCCACATGGCAATGGCAGGAAAGGTAGATGCAAAGAAAGAAGAAACCAAAGAAAACAAAATGAAAAAGGGGGAGGGGAAGTGGACAACAACATTTGCAGCGCCGTCGCCGCTTGCCGCAAGCCGACCACGCCGGCGACCGTATGCCGGCGCTGGCTGGCCACCTCGCCGCCGATCTTGCCGGCTGCAGCTCTGCCAATCAGGCCGCGGGGCAGCGCCGCCGCACTGCACCAAGCTGCTGCTCCGCTCGGCCTCCGCAAGGGCCGCCCTCCTCCTCCACATCGCACCACCAGAGGCTGCGCTGTGCGGGCCACCCTCCTCCGCCAGGTCGCGCCACCGCAGGCATTGGCCGCATCGCCCACGCCACATCTCGTCCACCATGGCTGCCCGACCTCGCTGCTCGGCTGCAGGCCACCGCCGCTCGCCCTAGTCACTGTCATGTGGACCCCACATACAAGATAGGAGAGCTAACATGTGGGCCCAAGGACGTTTTTGACATTTCACACGATTTCTCTCTCCTGTTCAAACGAAAATTATTATTCTAGTCGGCGTGGTATCCACTGGCAAAATACCACGATTATGAAGTGTTTTCCCTCAAAAGTTAGTTTTTGCGGTGTCCTAAGGCTAAAACCACACAGTAGCAGTGTCCTGCAGTAAAATTTTCCATAAACTAGATCGGACGTTGCAGATAGCATCAATCAACTGGTAAGAAAACAGTAATACAGTACCAGGGCAAAAGTTGTAGGCAAAAACAATAGATTTTATATGATATATGGTCTCGTACAAGTACAACAAAGTTGTACCCTTTCAACATAGAGCTTTTCTACATTTCTTCTATGTCTAAAGCCAAAATAGACCTTATCATTGGAATTAAATGATCAACCAGTAGAAATGATAAGGAAGGGAGCCAAACAAAAATTTTGGACTATATGCGAGGGAATGAGCAGGAGGCATAGAATGGATTGGCTGGAATTTTAAGGATACCTGGATACTAGTCATATACTCACAGGCGCATGTATTGTAATGGGATCTGGTGAAGTGTTTTTTTTTTCTTTCTTTTGTTTTTTTAGTGGTTTAGATATGAGAACGTGTTTTTTTCTTTCCTTTATTTTTCTAAGCGGTTTTTCCTAGGATATGGAAAACTGAGCAGTTTTTCTAGGATGTCATGAGTGGGAACTAGAGGACGATGTCTTTTACAGTCCTCCCTCCTTTTCTAAATGTTTGACGCCGTTGACTTTTTTAAATATGTTTGAACCTTCATCTTATTTAAAAAAATTTGTGAAATATGTAAAACTATATGTATACACAAAAGTATATTTAACAATGAATTAATGGTAGGAAAAGAATTAATAATTGCTTAAATCTTTTGAATAAGACGAACAGCCGAACATGCTTAAAAAAGTTAACGGCGTCAAATATTTAGAGATGGAGGGAGTAGTACATATGAATGTTTTGGATCTGGAACGTGTTTTTTCTTTCAGCTTTTTGTTATCGATGTGGTTTTTTTTCTAGAGTGTGGAATGGGCATAAACTGAGCGATTTCTCTGGATGTTGTGGGTGGAAACAGGAGGGGGACGACTGTTATTTTATAATAATAGTAGAGATATATAAATTTTCTCATAACTAAAAGTGATGTAACTCAAAAATTCCACATCATCCAACTTGTTCTTTGTCTTCTTCCGCATGACAATCTCTCAAAATTTTGAAATTAGTATACGTGTGCTTACAACTAAATTTGATTTTTTTTGAAAGAAAACTTGTAAAATTGAAATTTAAACTTGCATATTTGGGGACTAATATATCACATATTATTCTATCTTATTAAAAATATTTTTTAATAATTATTTGGAGGACATGAAAAAAAACGAGTGGACATCTCTCGAGGAATTAAAGGATTATGTTGTACTTTTGCATTCCTATTACAAAGATGATAATGTGGATGACATATAGGGAAAGAAAAAGATAAAGCAGTGACATATAAAGCAATAGCAACTTTTTATGGCATTATTGGGATAATTTCGTTTTTGCCCCCACTTTGATTTCTAATATTAATTTTGCCCCTACTTTTTAGGGTTTTCGTTTTTGCCCCCACTTTTTTTTGAACCGAAAGATACTTTTGCCCCTGTTTTGGATGGAGGAGTTAACGGTGTTAAATAGGATATTTATGCCCTCTCCCATAACTATTCATCAATTGTGTTTTTCCCCATTATGCAATGACTTTGGAAATTTTTTTTATTGAGTGAATTACACTTTGGACTAGTTTTAATTACCTAAGTTGCATACTGGACTAGGAACGTACAACCATTTTCACTTTGAACCAGGTTTTGTTACTAAACTATGCAATTTGGACTAGTTGACCCACATGTCAGCCTCAGCCATTCATCTTCCTCTTTTATTAGTCCCTATCCTGATCGGGCAGAGCTCATCTCTTCCCCAGTAATGCAGCAGTAGCAGCCTGGCAGGCTGCACGAACATTGAGTGGCCGCCGGCATGTCCTCTGCAGCTCTTCCCCGCATCCCTCTCTCTTGAAGATGACCGCTCGTCCGTTCCATTGGCTGTGCCCGCTGCGTGGGATGAAATGGCGCCACCGTCGACGACCGCTCCACCGGCTGACGCGATGTGCAAGATGGAATGGGCTCTGTCATTGGCGTTGCCACTGGGAGACGAGTGCGGGCGCCCCTCGAGCTTGACTGGTGAAGGCACGTACAACCGTCGATCCATCCTCGGGTAGGAGCTTAATCTCCTCGCGTTCAGCTTGGCGCTCGATCGATCTCGGTCCATCCATTGGCCAACCTGCGTTCCTCAAGATCGGACTTCGATTGGAATCAACGCCAAGCAAATCACACCAGCAAAGCTTCACTCGTGCTGGACTGCTGGCCACTGACCACGGGCCCAAGATGAGATTGATGCATTCGTCGGTGAAGACGGGAGAGATGGAAGAAAACACTTTCTACATGACATGTGGGCCACTAGTCCAAGATGAAAGTTTTGGTAACTTCATATATGTATTAAAATGAAAACATGGGATAGCATCCAGTCCATTGTGCAACACAGGTAAGAAAACCAGGACCAATATGCAATTTACTTTTTATTTTTTGAATATGTTTAAAATTAAATGACAGATTTGGACAGATTTTGACATTACAATTTGGACAAAATTTGAATTTGACGGAATTTTGATAAAATTTCGGCAGCATTTTGACAAAAATTGAAATCAACTCACGGATTGAGCTTGGTCACAGATTGAGCTTTCAACTCACGGATACTGTGCTGGTGAAGTGGAGGCGTCATAATTCTCGCGAGTCGAGAGGAAGACTAGGGAGAGGTCAATGGCCGAGGAGTGGGGTAATTTGTTGGTCATAGAGACTACCGGCGCGCTAGTATATAATAAGATCATGTTGAGACGTCGACATCCTTGTAGCAACATCAATGTATCAAGGATATTCAAATTATCCAATAGTAAGTCTACCAGAGGTTATGAGTGCCGGCAAGAAACTCAAAATACCCCATAATAAATCCAACAATAAAAATTCTACATGACCACGTGTGACGACAACGTACGTCACGAGACTAGGCGCGTGCCGGCAGCCGGCCGGTTGCATTTTGGTCGTCGAATATGATCGCTCATTCTATGTAAAGTAGGAAGGTAACTAAATTTATTTGGTGTTTGACATTTTGTTACGAATATTTATGTATTGGATTTTTCAAGAAAACTATTTTTTACTCTTATAAATCTGCGTTTATAAATAATTTGTTCGGGATTGTTTATTGGCTAAGGACCGGCTATAAGCAATAAAACATTCGTTCTTCTCTCTGCTATGGTACTGCTAGCCCATCTCTCTCTAATTCAGTTGCTTGCCTCCATGGGAGAAGGGAAGAATACACCTGGATAGATTTGCTGAAGAACCGCCGGGAGATGGTGGCGAGTATTCCTGCTGCCGCCGGATACACCCGCGCCCGCGAGCGTCGTCGCCGGATCCACTCACGCCCACCCACGAGCACCGTTGCAGCCGAAGTCCTCTCACGAGCTCCGCCGCCGTCGGATCCACCTGTGCCCAATTCCTGCTGCCGCCGGATACACCCGCGCCCGCGAGCGTCGTCGCCGGATCCACTCACGCCCACCCACGAGCACCGTTGCAGCCGAAGTCCTCTCACGAGCTCCGCCGCCGTCGGATCCACCTGTGCCCATGTGTGCCGCCGCCGGATCCATCCACGCCCATGAGTCTCGTAGCTAGATCTACCCGCGAGCTTCATCATTGCCGCCGCCGGATCCATCCGTGCCCGCAAACGCCGTTGTCGACTCCGTGTATACCCGCGAGCTCCGCGGCCTCTGCTGCGAATTCTATGGGCCGCTGCACGCGACCACTGCCGCCGTTGCCACAAGCGAGTGCCACCACCGTCGCCATGGCTCCACTCGCGCGAGCTACCGCTATTTTCATCGATGCCTCAGTGGGGTGGGGAAAATTCTGGTGACTGAGGGAGAGTAGGATGGTTGGAATGGTAATAATTGTGGGGTCCACCTTAAAACCTCCTTTCTCCAATATACATTGTGAAGATGAAATATATCTCAGTGGGACCCACCTAGGGCCCACAATAAGGACTGATTGTGCAATATACATTGCTCATGTCCTAAGGCATCGTCCCTCCAACCATTTGTCTATTTTACACGAAGCGACAACGTAAGTGTGAGTAAGGTGATCTTTGTAAATGGGCGCGTCAGTTGGATGGGTTGGACTACGGTGTTCTGGAGGATGGGATGTTACAAATTGTAAACTAAAATTACTTGAATCATGTCGTCTTAAATTTATGAAAAAAATATGTTGCAACAATAGACCTGGTTCATATGAAACTATTATTTATACTACATGGGTTTCTTTATTAAAAATATTTAGCATCTTAATTTAAACTTTTAAGTAATATTTTTCTTGTATACTAAAGATGAATTTATAAAGATATATTAATTTAATAAATTTTCTATTTCAATTATATAGTAATATGACCTCTTTATCTAATTAAAGACATACTCACGTACTTCTATTTGCTTCTAAATTGAGACATCGACCTATATTAACTAAGATATATGATAAATAAGTATTTACATTGACAAGATTAGAGTGTGCAGGCCCTATCCCCACCCGATACAAATAGCCAGAGCAAGCCTTATCCCTCATTGGAGATCGAAGCCGATGCAGCCCAACTTGAAATAAGAACTCGTCGAGAAGACGAAAATGAAAAGGATGGCGATGTCCCGAAGTTGTATTGGTCGAGAGATAGATTACTAGGACCCTAGGTGTACATATTTATACCCATGGGCGGATACTAGTCCTGATCGGACATTAAACAAACTTTCCTAAAGATAAAAGGAAAAACATAAAGTCCTCATCAGACATGACTCAAACTTTCCTAAATACAAAACTTGCTTAATTATTAGATAAATTAAGTTACTATGCCGTGGTCTCTATGATTTCTTCTTGAACTCAGATTATTTTGGATAAGCTTTCCATCGGCTAATTGTGCTTTTTTCTTAACCGAATCCACTAAAAAATATTACCAAATTTTAGCGTTAACACAGCTGTCCAACTTTTCTTTGACTACTTCGGGCACCACCACGTCTTTAGGCTACCACTATCGCCGCTCTAGGCCAGTGGTTTAGCTGACGTAGCTCAAGCTACCAACGTTGTCGTTCCAAGTTGTTGGTCCCACTACTTCGCATTCGTATTCGTCTACTTTCGCCCACGTGGTATTGGCAACACTGCTGTGCGCATTCATCCCGAGTTCGATAGCATTGGCTCTTCGGCATCATCTTCCTCAACGACTACTACGATCGCCTTATCGTCTTCGTCTTCATCGCTATAACAACCTACCCTCCAGAATCACGCAACCTAGCCCATCTAACGGACATACCCACTTTTTCATACTCGCTTCGTGTAAAAGAGTTAACCTGTAAGTGATATGATTGGAGGGATATACCCTTATAAGTTGGTTCCAACCTTGCTAATTAGCAAGGTGGTACTAAACATGCACACACAACTCCATTTATCAATTGCCAAAGATGGTAAGTTAGCCACCATTGAAGTTCACAGGTACGTGAATGGTTTTGAATAATTTATGTGCTTGTATTATGTCTTAGAGAATTTTATTCTACACTATCATCTTAACATTTACTCAGGGACGAGTAAAGAGCTAAGTGTGAGGGGTTTGTTGACAGCTAATAAAACATCTAACATACTGGTAAGGCTTAGTTCTAACATATTTCACGAGTGTTGGTGTATATTTGGACGCAGGCAATAAACCGCCAAAGTTGGGATGAAATCCAGACTTAAGTGAAAGAAGAATTCTATCCATACAAGAGTGGGTCTTAAACTACATCGAAACATCAGAAAGCAGGCCCAACTCTCCTGGAAATGGATAAGGCAGGCTGAGGGAGAGGTGCAGGCCAAATCCTGGGCCTGTTTGGTTAGGCCAGGGTTCAGCCGAAGGGGTTCGGCTGAAGCTCAATCTCAGCCGTTCAGGCTGGGTTTGGCATGGACGCTCCAGATGACGTCCTGATGGCGGTTGCGGGTCATTTCAGACATTTCACATGCTTTAGATCCATCATACCTGCCTATAGAAGGAGCTCTTCATTTCACTTCTTTCACACACTCCAAACTTAAGCTAAATTATAAGAGGCTCTATTATACTTTATTGTATACTAGAGTTAGGTAGAGAGAGAGAGAGAGTAGAGTAGAAGAAGTCAGAGGAATTCCTGAGTTGCCGGTAATCCTCTTCTTATTTCTTTTACTTTTTTAATTACACTGCTTTAATAGAATTATCATTCTGAGTAATTAAGATTTATTCAAGTGAGAATTACCTCTCGGTTAGTTCCTAATTAGCGTGCGGGATCATTGATCACTATAACCCAGTAAAGTATAGTGGCTTCTTTAGTGTTTAGCTAGCGCTAAAGTAGTTATTAATTGCGTAGACGTGGTGTCTGGGTAGTTAATTTCCGGTGATTACTTCATATCCCACAGTAGGTTTGAGGTGGGTGTAGAGGTGGTGACATCCCTCAATTACACTAAAGTCCTCCCTTTTCGGGTACACAGTAGAGCGACATATGGGAGCAGCAAGCTGGCTAGTGCCTGAAGTATCGCGTTAGGATTAAATTAAGCTTTCCGTAGAAACTGTTTCTCACTAGTAAATCCTCTCTACCCTTTGCCTACATTTGCTTCGTGTCCTTGGATGAACCGGACAAGGAGCTGAAAACACATGTTCCTTGTGGAAATTGATACATTGGAATACTCCCGGGTGAAGTGCTACATCGGTATTCTCCGTGTGCTTGCGGATTTTATCTGTAAGGTTAAGAAATACCAACAGATATCTTAGCTAATCTAGATCATTAAAACAATTTAAATGATACTAACAAAACCTAAAATAGATTTGGCCGATACAAGTAAATTGAGAATCTACCTAGATTAACTAAGATATAAGATAAATACTAGGTGTTTACATTGACAAGATTAGAGTGTCGAGGCCCTAGCCTCGCCGATACAACCAGCCATAATAAGCCTTACCCCTCGTTGGAGATCGAAGTTGATGCAGCCAAACTCGAAACAAGAACTAGTCGAGAAAGACGAAAATAAAAAGGATGGCGATGTGCCGAAATTGTGTTGACCGAGAGATACATTACAAGGATCCTGGGTGTACATATTTATACCTATCGGCGGATACTAGTCTTGATTGGACACCAAAGAAACTTTCCTAAAGATAAAAGAAAAAGCATAAAGTCCTCATCGGACATGACTCAAACTTTCTAAATACAAAACTTGCCTAATTAATAGATAAATTACATTGTTATGCCATGGTCTCCATGATTCTTTTTTGAACTCGGACTCTTCTAGATAAGCTTTTTAATGGTTGATTGTGCTCTTTCCTTAACCGAATCCACTAAAGAATCTTACCAAATTTTGGTGTTAACACAGCTGTCTGGATTTTCTTTGACTACTACGCGCACCACCACGTCTTCATGCAGCCACTATCGCCGCTCTAGGCCAGTGGTTTAGCTGCTGTAGCTCAAGCTACCGACATCACTGTTCCAGGTTGTTGGTCCTGCTACCTCGCATTCGTCTTTGTCTACTTCCGCCGGCGTGGTATTAACAACACCACTGTGTGCATTCAACCTGAGTCGTCCTTGAGCCTGGCAAACCCGGCACGACGTCTTGTTCTCGACAGTTCGATAGCATTAGCTCTTCAGCGTCATCTTCCTCAACGACTGCGGCAATAGCCTCATCGTTGTAACAGCCTACCCTCCAGAACCACGTAGCCAACCCATCGAACGGGCATACGCACTTACTCTTTCGTACTTGCTTTGTGTAAAAGAGTTAACCCATGAGTGATATGGTTGGAGGGATAGACTCTTATAAGTTGGTTCCAACCTTGCTAAATTAGTAAGGTGGTACTTAACATGCGCACACAGATCTCATGGACCACACATGCCAAATCCTAATTGGGCTAGTATGTCACACACCCCCTCAAAGAACCTGACATCCCAGTCGGTCCAACTAACAAATATAACCACACATGCATATAGGCAAATATTCAGTAACATGCCCCCTCATAGCGCACATCCATACGTTCAGCGCTGGCGACCATGTGTGCACCTTGGTCCTTGGCGCTCCTTGCACATCGCGGCTTAGCATCCTCGCTCATCATCGGCACACGACATCGACCACGCTTATTCTACGTATGGCTTCTTCAACCACGCTTTCTCACACCCTTTGCTTCGGCTATATTGGCTATTGCACAAAGGCTATTCAACATATTTGTTGAGCTTTCTCCATTCGCGTTGCTCACGCTTGGATTTTGTCAGGATGTAAAAACATATGCTAGTTAGAGTTATATCTTGGTATGATTATGCTTCCTTATATGTAATCATTTCTTATTTCTACCAATATATGTCAATACAATAAAACATGTTGAGTAGGCACGGTACTCTCTCCCCTATATTATTGAACATCTGGGACGATGCGGCACCGATGGGCGCTTCACCGCCGCCTTCTCATTTGCCATCGGCCGCAACTCCACGAACCTGATGGCATGGCGTCCTACACTCATATATACTTCAGGCCTTCAATCATACGGTCACAAAATAATTGTCCTTAGGGCACTCGTGAAGTCGAGGGGTCACAATTCTCGCGACTCGTGAGAAAGTCTGTTGGGACACTGAATAATATGAGATGTTGGGATGTCAAACATCATTATAACAATATCATGTATCCGAAATCCCGTATAACAAATACTGAATTCATGTTTTCATTTGGGTGTAGCTATATTTATGGCGCCATATTTTTCACCCAAAAATAGTCAGCTTGTATTTACATTGTAAGTCTCTAAATTACATATGTAAATTTAGTGTATTTATAATGTAAGTTTTAAAATTACATATGTAAGTCTCAAAATTACATAGTAATTATATGTGTAAGTAAGATGTAAGTGGGGTGTAAATTTGTGTTAAAGAAAAGGATGCATACATATAGAACGAAATTAGGTGACGTTTCACTTGGATTTGCATGACTTTAGAGATTAGCTAGCAATAGCATATGCTTTCAGGTCTGTCGGAGATATGGACCCGGGGGTATGTGGAGTAGAGGGGAATTACTTTTCCTCCGGCCATGTGACTCTGCAAGTTAGCCCCATTCACGCGTCACGCGACTCGTGGAAGCGGCGGGGAGGGGGGGGGGCCTCGGGGCATGGCGTCACCCCCTCGGGCTATCCCGCGGCTTCGCCCCGAGGCCCTCACCCGGCTGCCACGCGGCGGAGGGAGAGAGC